GGGGGTGGGATGTTCGGGGGAAGGTCTTCAGGACTGTACATGTCTGGCAATGGCGGTCGCGGTGGGACGCTCTCTTCCTGGAAACATAAGAAACACTTAAAGGACGACTCCGGGCTCCGGCACGCGGTAACAAAAAGCAACAAAAAAAGACATTTCATCATTTAGTGTCATATAAACAGCCCCATAAATTCTGCGGACATGAAAGGTCTCTGCGCGGAGTCCAAGTCCTCTGAAAGGTCTCTGCGCGGAGTCCCCGTCCCCTGAAAGGTCTCTGCGCGGAGTCCCCGTCCCCTGAAAGGTCTCTGCGCGGAGTCCCAGTCCCCGGAAAGGGCTCTGCGCGGAGTCCCAGTCCCCTGAAAGGTCTCTGCGCCGAGTCCCCTGAAAGGTCTCTGCGCCGAGTCCCCGTCCTCCTGTATCTGGTTTCCTGGGAACTAGATCTAGATAAACCCCCAGCCTGCGGCATCCCCAGCCCGGCCCCGAGGTTTCCTGCACCGGGGGGCCCGGCGAGAACAGAGCGGCTCCTGGTTACTCACATGCTTTGGTGGCGTCGGCGCTCGGGTTGGCGACTGAAGGCGCATTTCCGGTTTCTGCATCAGCTGCGGCTGGGACTGCGACCTGCTCTGGGTGTACGGCTGAGGATAAAGCCCCGCCTCCAGCATCTGGGTCACAAAACTGGGCGGGGTCTGAGGGGAGACGGATTTACTGCGCACAGATGTAAACGCCGTACTTCCGGAAGGCACGAATGTGGATGTGACCAAAGGCAACGTTTTCCTTTCTGCGAAGAGAGAATGTCACACAATGAGAAAACTACTGCCCACCACAGGCCCCCGGGCGGCCATCGCAGGACTGATGACGGCTTCCACTCGTCAGGAATCAGAGGAGATCATCGCTGAACATGGAGAGACATTTGTAGTGTTTCAGGCTTTGCTGTTCCATATTCACATTACCCCAATCTGTGGCCAACTATACAGGGAGTACAGTCAGCATCCCAGCTGAACAAGAGATAACACCGCAGCCAATAGGAACATCCGAACACCGCGCGTGATATTAGAATTCCCGGGGCGTATCGCCCACTCAGGCAGTAGCGCAGTGTACACGGTGCAGGGCGGAGTCAGGGGGGTCATAGGGCCGTACCTGGATTCTTGAACGATTCCGCGAGCACTTTGTAGTTCAGCTTGTTGGCGCTCAGACCGGCCGTGACGTCTTCGATCCGCCACAGATCCTTCTGGAGCTGCGTCCGGTCCTGAGCGGCACAGAACAACATGTCATCGCACATGATCTCCACACGCCAATCACGCAGCACAATGTCCGCCAGGAGCCCCCAATCCATCCGTGTTCCCCCATTGGACAGCTAGGAGAGCGCACAGGCGCGTGCTCCTCGCAGAATACATCCGGATTACAATGTATATCCCAGCGGCCACACGAGAGCAGCGCCAGCCTGCTCATCCCCCCCTCCCATCATCCCTCCAGTGGGAGGTACTGGTATGTACTGGGAAGGACGTGCGTGATCACTGGTGATGGGGGGGAGGGGAGAGGGGGGTGTTCAGGGTCCATGTAGGGGCCCCAGGGGAGGACTGCGTGCAAAGAGACAACTGGGGTAACATTGCATTAGGATTGGGGGGCCCTGTGAGTAGGCTGTATGGGGCCCCATCATTTCTGGGTCAGTGTAATATCTTTATATGCTCCGCCCCCCCCCCCTCCCCCCACATGGGCAGTATTGGGGTGTCACCTGAGACGAGGGGCAGCGGGTCATCTGTTCCTGTAACATTTGTCTCAGTCGGATGACGTCACTTTCCAGCCTCAGATACTCGTTCCAGGACGTCTCCATATCCTGCGGGAGACATGACAACGTACAACGCATCTGATGACCCTGAACAGCCAATCACAAGGCAGCCGGCGCCAGCAGGGGGCGCTCTGACACCAGACATGGAAACATGAAGTCATAGGACTCCTCCCCCAGCAGGGGGCGCTCTGACACCAGACATGGAAACATGAAGTCACAGGACTCCTCCCCCAGCAGGGGGCGCTCCAATACCGGACATGAACATACTATGGGAACATAAAGTTACAGGACTCCTCCCCCAGCAGGGGGCGTTCTAATACCGGACATGGACATACTATGGGAACATGAAGTCACAGGACTCCTCCCCCAGCAGGGGGTGCTCTAATACCGGACATGGACATACTATGGGAACATGAAGTCACAGGACTCCTCCCCCAGCAGGGGGCGCTCTAATACCGGACATGGACATACTATGGGAACATGAAGTCACAGGACTCCTCCCCCAGCAGGGGGCGCTCTAATACCGGACATGGACATACTATGGGAACATGAAGTCACAGGACTCCTCCCCCAGCAGGGGGCGCTCTAATACCGGACATGGACATACTATGGGAACATGAAGTCACAGGACTCCTCCCCCAGCAGGGGGCGCTCTAATACCGGACATGGACATACTATGGGAACATGAAGTCACAGGACTCCTCCCCCAGCAGGGGGCGCTCTAATACCGGACATGGACATACTATGGGAACATGAAGTCACAGGACTCCTCCCCCAGCAGGGGGCGCTCTAATACCGGACATGGACATACTATGGGAACATGAAGTCACAGGACTCCTCCCCCAGCAGGGGGCGCTCTAATACCGGACATGGACATACTATGGGAACATGAAGTCACAGGACTCCTCCCCCAGCAGGGGGCGCTCTAATACCGGACATGGACATACTATGGGAACATGAAGTCACAGGACTCCTCCCCCAGCAGGGGGCGCTCTAATACCGGACATGGACATACTATGGGAACATGAAGTCACAGGACTCCTCCCCCAGCAGGGGGCGCTCTAATACCGGACATGGACATACTATGGGAACATGAAGTCACAGGACTCCTCCCCCAGCAGGGGGCGCTCTAATACCGGACATGGACATACTATGGGAACATGAAGTCACAGGACTCCTCCCCCAGCAGGGGGCGCTCTAATACCGGACATGGACATACTATGGGAACATGAAGTCACAGGACTCCTCCCCCAGCAGGGGGCGCTCTAATACCGGACATGGACATACTATGGGAACATGAAGTCACAGGACTCCTCCCCCAGCAGGGGGCGCTCTAATACCGGACATGGACATACTATGGGAACATGAAGTCACAGGACTCCTCCCCCAGCAGGGGGCGCTCTAATACCGGACATGGACATACTATGGGAACATGAAGTCACAGGACTCCTCCCCCAGCAGGGGGCGCTCTAATACCGGACATGGACATACTATGGGAACATGAAGTCACAGGACTCCTCCCCCAGCAGGGGGCGCTCTAATACCGGACATGGACATACTATGGGAACATGAAGTCATAGGACTCCTCCCCCAGCAGGGGGCGCTCTAGCACCGGACATGGACATACCGTAGAGACTTTGGACATCTCGGCTCGGATCTGCACCAAGTCCTCCTGTAGGAGGCGCTGCTGGTAGGAGATTTTCTCCGTGTGCTGGGGCTGATCCTTGAACTGATCCATCTGCCTGTGCAGAACCTCCAGAACCGTCTCCAGCTTGTCCTGCAAGAACCCGGATTGGTCAGAATGAGTCACATGGAGAGATAAGCCGCCG